CTAAACCGGCTCCCAGCCCCCCGAACAGCTCCACCAGGGTAACACCATCTTGGTCTAAGCTTTCCCCCGCCCGAATATCCCTGATCTTCCCAACGCTTTTACTTCCTCCTTGCCCCATGCTTCCCGCTCTCCAAGCTTTCTTGGGTTCAGTCTTGATGAAACGCACTGGCAATTCACTCAGCTCCTTCCCCTCCTCCCAGAAATCCGAGCGGTATAGCACATGTTCTTGCCAGGTGCATATAGTGGTCCCTATCTTGTATAGCAGCTCCATTCCTAGTAATATATCGTAATCGTCTGACTCTGTCAGTCCGCACTGCACCCTTATCGTTGTTTCTCCCTCCCCTCCCGGCTGCAGCGTGATCTCGATTAGATCCTTCGTATAGGGCATCCACTTAGGAGCCCCTCCTTCAGCAGTCATGATCAGTATCCCCCGCCTTACGGTTTCCCATCCTCCTTGCGCCTTTAACTGCTCGGTCAGCTTCCTTCCCAGTAACACACTCTGCGCGCCAGTATCCACCACGGCATTTTCTACTAGTATCCCTCGTACCGCTACGGCCTTCGGATCCACCACCAGAGCCGTAGGCTGGCAGACCAGTCGCTCTTCTGGGTGCCGCCGCGCTGTCGATGACTTGTTAGTCCCCTCGGCCGCTTTAGTAGTCCTCCTCCCCGGCTGCTTCTGCTCTGTTCGGCCGTCTTTCCCTCCACTCCTCAACCCCAAACTTTCTCGGTCTCTAGGTGATATGGCCATAGCTCCATACTCCGCTTCTTCCTCCTCGTATTCTTCCTCTTCCTCATCTTCCCAAGCTAGTAACGCTTTCTCTGGGTCTTCGCTAATCTCCGCCTTGCCCATCTGAGCTTTCAGCTTTGCTATCTCTCGCTCCAGCTGCTGCTCTCTAGCGGACTTTTCTCCCACCTTCTCCTTCTTGCTGTAGCACCTCTCTTCCGTATGACCCCTTTTCTTACAGAAGGTGCAGCTCGGCGCCTTGGGACAATTCCGCCTGAAATGCCCCTTCTCCCTGCAGATGTCGCATATAATGTCAATGGCGCAGTCCTTTCGCAGATGCCCTGGTTCCCCACACTTGTGACACCGTCGCTTGTCTTCAAAAGGTTTTTCCCTTCGTTCTTCTTCCACCCTCTTTCCTTCCACCGCAGCCCACGCCGGCCTCCTGCGTTCGCCTGATCTTCCTGCGCTCGCCCCGCGCAGCCCATCAAAGAACCTTCTTCCCTCCTCTACCTCCCTCGCCACCTGATACACTTGTCGCAACTTCGCCTTCATCCCCAGCGCGTATAGTCGACTCCGCATGTTTTGCATCAGGTCCTCCTCCAATCCGCCCACAAACTTCGACACTAGGGTCCGTTCTTCCAGGCAGCCCATGTCTTCTGCCAGCTCCAGCAGCCGATTGTAGTAGGCTAGCAGAGTTTCCCCCCTTGCTCTCTTAAAGTCCTGAAACTCTGTCATCCGATCTGCCGAATGCCCCGGGAATTGTTCTCGCAGGCTTTCCAGGAATCTGTCGGTGATTTCCGCCGCTGCGAAGTCCCCTCGTTTACTCTGCAGCAACAACCCCTGTCTCTCCACCCGGTAATGTGTCAGCGCTTCTCCCTTGAGGGTTCTCCCCAATCCTCTGAAAAATTCAATGGGATCTAACCCCTCTCTCTCCCAACAGTATCGGATGTCATCTTCCATCATAAGGTAATTCTTCAGCGTGGGCTCCTCCCCAGGCGCCCCTGAGAATCGATCCGGCACCTCAATCTTAGGTGGTGCCGCACCCATCATTCTGCCTGATCCCCAGCTCGCCGTTCCCCTCTCACCGATCCCCACAGGCGGATCTCCTCTTCCAGCCCCCATGGATTCGTATCTTCCAGCGGAGAACCCGTGTACCGCCTCTCCCTCTCGCTGACTCTGCTGATCTTCTTGATGGTCTCCCCTTCTCGGCTCTGGAGTTCCGCGTTGAGATCCCCCAACTCCAGCTGCCCCGGGTCCCATCTCTGGCGCTGGCGAATTACAGTTCGAGCTCAGTGGCGGCTCTCCCCGTCTGTCCCCTTCTTTTCCTTGATCTGCGCTGCTAGTACCACTCGCGGTCGTAGTTCCTTCTCCTGCTCGAAACCCAGGTGTCTTAATCGGCAAATCTTGTCCCTCCATCCTCCGCGCAGGAAATCTATGCCCTGAACGCAGTTGATGAGTATGCAGCTCTTGATCAAGGCCGCTCATCCCCTACGGTGCATCACCGCATGCCCTCCAGGCGTTGTGCCTATTTTGCTGAGATTTCAGCACTACACTCTTTTTGCTTGTATGAACAAGTCTTAACTCCCTCGCAAGGGCTCAGTCAGATTGCTCCTGCTTCTCCCTACTGCTAGCTTCCTTTGGCTTAGGAAAACAAGATTACAGTAAGAAGAGAAACATACAAGCAAAAAGCGAGAAACCAGAGTGCTACCCCGGCTACATTCCCTCCTCCTCCTGCCTAGGAGCCTTCCTTCCCTCGCTAGCTCTAGTGCCAAACGCGAGTCAGCTGAGCTGCTCGCGATGGTTCCAAGGTGCTAGCTGGGCCCCACTGGCCCACTAGGCATGCACTGCCTTCCAGCTGGAATCGAGTTCCTAGCCTGGAATCGCATTCCCAGCTGGAATTGCATTCCCAACCTGAAATCGAATTCCCAGCTGTAATCGAATTCCCCAGCTGGAATCGAATTCCTCCTTCCACACCAACCTCCCTGTAGTCCCCTGCACTCGGCTCTATAGCGTATATACAGTACATCCCACGCACACAAAAAGAAATTAGAGTACATAACCAGAAATGCACCATTACCTGGCTGCTGTGTAATTCACACCTTAGCCACCGGCTAGGTGTTAATAACGCGACAGCCCTTCAGGCGAAGTCCCCCAGCGACTCAACCGCACTCCAAGAAACGAAGAAACACCCTCAGCTTCATATTATTTTTTGTCGTTTCACCCCCCGAACATTCCACTTCCCGCCGTTCACCCAGCGTCCGCTTTTGTCGGATGGGGTATTGTCGGTGTTGCCCTGCGCGAACCCCAGCCACGGTGGAGAAGAAAAGACTATCGGAGTCGGGGTTGCCTTAGTTAAAAGGAAATCAGTCCCAACCGCTTCGCAGCCCACCGTGCCCGTCGCGCCACTAAAATTCCACAGCTTCCGGTCCCAGCTTCGCCGCTGCGCCGTCACCTCGTGTAGACGCCCGGGTCAGAGGAAACCTGTAAACTGCACCAGTGTTGTCCTGCGGCGCCCCGATTTTTTCGCGTGCTGTTTCACCCAGCCCGCTTTTGTCGGAGTAGAACAGTGCCGCAACTCCCCTTTTTTGTCTTTTCTGTACAGCTGTCGAACGGGCACCAAACCAGGTGCTTTTAACCAGCGCAGGGTAGGCTCGTGTTCACCCCCGTTATTCATCCGAATAAGGTCGACTGCATGAGTCGGAACCAGTAATCGGTGGGGATGGTGAGGTTCGGGCGAAGTAGGGCCGCAGATCGGTTCCACCGGCTTTTATCTGCTCCCCACGACGTTCTTCAACCCCCGCTTAGCCGTTGGGCAGTTTCTTCACGCGTGTCCCGGCGGCCTGCACCACACTCCGAAATTGTCGGGGTGGCACGTTGAACACCGTTTAATCGTGGGCTGTTGCGGCTGTCCCCGAAAACGGCTTCCTTGAACGGGGAAACCGATCTCGAAACTGTCGAACAGCTGGCAAGCAGCTCCAGGCACGCAGCAACAAACGAGTATTTCTCGGGTGTTCAGTCCCGATATGCCCTCGCGCCTGCGCCCCACTCCTGCTAAGTGCGATTTAGCCACGTCGTTGTCTGTTGCAGCCCGTAAGTGTCGGCGGGTCCAAAGTTCCCGTCTGTCCACAAGCACTTCTGCCGAAAATCGTCGACGACTCGCCCGCCAGTACGGTAAGCGCCGCACTATCCGGTCGGATGAGATAAAACTCAACCCCCGCATAATTCGGGCGGCTTGAGCGTCTATCTCTCCAGCCGTCGGGATCCTCTGACGCAAAACTCCATTTGCGCCTGGCGAGTCCTTCGAGCTGCCCTTTTCTTCACAGTAGAAACCTCCGAAATTGTCGCCCATGCTGACGCAGGCCCGTTGTCGCCAGCTGCCGAAGATTCTCCCGAGAATCTCGCGCACAAGATGACGGCTTGCCATCGACGTCACTTGCCGCGTAGGGACGACTCCGAAATCTTCGCGCAACTGTTGACGCAGATCCGCCAACGCCAGCTGCCACTCGTGATGACGACGTCGATGCTGTTCGTGCAGGTGCCGACGCAGGTCCGCTGACGCAGGCTGCCACACGAATCAAGCTCCGAAATCGTCGGAAATCGCAGCGGAAATTACTCACTTTAATGTCGCGACAGCTACTGCTGCCCGTCGCCCGGGGGGAGGGAGGTCATGGTCGATCGCGACCGTCGAGCTAAGGATCTGGCGGTGCCGAAGGAGTGCCCCGTAAAACCATGGCCGCGAAGAGCAACTAACTAGTTCTCTTGGCCGGCCTACGCAACTCCTGGACCCCAAGGCATCCTTACTCGTCCCCCCCCCGAGGGGTATTACACTCTAAAAAGCGGGGTAGGCTAGGAAAGTAGCTCTGATACCAGGTGTTATGAATGAACTTGTCAGAGTGCGCAGATATCGAATAACGAGAATGTTGAACTACAGAATGATTGAACAATGAAGTAGCGAGGCCTAAATAGGGGAAAACCTAGCTAGGCGGGGGGTTCGGGATGGGATGGCTCGGTGATGGCCACGATTGGAGCGGAGGCCGACTCGGGGGTGGTTCGGTGCGACGAAATAGGCATCGCAGGTTCGTCGCGACACCCTCGGGATGTCCTCGCTAACAACTTACTACAGTAAGGAATTCTAATTCCTTACACATAGCTTTCAATCTGCGCATTCTTGTTACCCGTGCAGCAGTTACAGCCCTGATGAGCCTTCGTGTGTGCAGTCCACTTGTGATGGGAATATTGTCCAGCACCGTCTCGCACGAGCCACGCGCGTGGATCGATGGGTAAGGCAAAGGTAGACGACGAAGGCCAGCCGTGTGCGGGAAAAGTCACCGCGGATCATCGCGTGCTCACCTCTGTCTCGCGCGCGTCTGCTCCCAGCTCCCGCCCCACGCGCCACGCCGCCGGCAGCACCGGCGATAGAGACGCCATGGGAGGCGGCACAGCCGTGCAGTCCGCCAGCGGGCCGAGCGGGGTGAGCGGCGGTAGGGGGGTTAGAGGGACGGGCAAAGGGGTGGTGGCGGATGATGGCGGCGAGTCGGGGAACCTGCGGGAAGGCGGGGGCGCGGCTGGAGTGGCGGGATCGGCGCCGATATCGCGGCGTCGGATGCGGCTGAGGCAAGGCGAGGCGGTGCGACGGCGAGGCAGCGACACGTGGGGATGGGTGCTGAGCGGACTGGCGGCCTGGTGCCCGGGTCGCTCTCGCCTGGCAGCACGCCGAGGCGCCTTGGGCCGCAGCAGCGCTGGTGCTGGCAGCAGCAGGCTGCAGGGCAGTGGGCGACAGGCGAAGAGCGCGCAAGGGCTACCGCTGTCGCTGAGGCTGTTCCTGGCGACGGCCGTGGCGCTGGCCGTGGTGGCGGGCAGCGCGCGCCTCATGCACGGCGACGACGGCCCCCACGCGCGCCCCCTCCTCCACCTCCTGCCCGATGTGCGCGCACACGCGGCCTCCGCCACGCCCCTGCCCGCGGGAGCCGGGGGCGGCCGCAACGACTCCCATGCGGGCGGTGGGAGTGTGGCGGGAGCGGGGACAGGGGTGGAGGGGGAAGGGGCGGGTGGTGGGTATGGGGCGCAAGTGGGAGAGAGCAGCAATGGGCCAGACGGGGAAGGGCGTTGGGATGTGGGTGCAGCGGGCGGTGGTGGGGATGGCGAGGCGAGCATGGGTGGAGACGCGGGGTGGGAGGAGGACGATGAGGACGTTGGCGACGAGGGCGAGGGGGCGCGCAGGGAAGGTGACGGTGGTGGCAGGGGCGAGCGCGACGTGGCAGACGGGCTATGGAGGGAGGGCGAGGGGGAGGGGGAGGGCGCGAGTGAGGGGGAGGCAGCAGCGGTGCAGGGGTTGGGTGGGTGGGCGGGTCCGTTTGACAGCGTTGAGGACGAGGCCGTGGTGGCACATGGCTTGACTGCCTTCGGCATGCGCACACTGCCACCTGCGTCGCCATGGTCAGCTGCGGCAGTGCGGCAGTGCCGGCAGGGGGATGAGTTCAGGGCAGCGGTGGAGGGGCGGTCGGTGCTGGTGGTGCTGCACGAGGCGTCGCTCACGGGCGCACCTCTGGCCGCCATGGAGCTCGCTCAGGAGCTCGCGCTCTGCACCCGCCCTGCCCCCGCCCCTCCCCCGCGCCTTCTCCCTCGCAATACGCGCACGCTTGTGTCACAGCAGCGGCGCTTGCTGGCTAGTGAGGGTGAGGGGGGCAGGGAGCGGGCGGCATGGGAGGGGTGCAACGGCACTTGCTGGGATGCACGCTTGAACTTGCGACGGCTGCTAGGGCGGGTTGTGGACGAGGGGGGGCAGCGGACAGGAGGGAGCGGTAGGACGCGCGCGCGAGGGGGAAAAGCACACAAGGGACAGCGCGCACAGCAGAGGCAGCAGCGCTTGGAGCAGCAGAAGTTGCGGCGGCGGCAGCGACGGCAGCAGGTGCAGCAGCGGCAGGTGGCGGCAGCGGAGCAGGCGGGCACGGTGGTGGGCGGGGCGGGCGTGCACGTGCTGCTGCTGAACCGCAAGGGCGGGCTGCTGCCCGAGCTGCAGAGGCGCGGGCTGAGCGTGCTGAAGAGCAAGGGCAGTGAGAGCTGGCGCGCCGCCATGGCCGCCCACGTCGTCATCGCTAGCTCCGCCACCGCTGCTTCATGGATCGGTGACAGCTCTGCCCTGCCCCTTGCTCGCATGCCCCCTCTCTCCTCCCAGCCAGTGAGCGGCGCGCAGCGCATGCATGTGTACGGTGCACGGTGGGTGGAGTTGGAATTCACTGCAGTGGTCTCAGCCCGTGTGCCCTCCATCTTGCTTCTCTCCTCCCCCCCCCTGCAGGCGCATACCTGGCAACTTGCAGCATTGGCAGCAGTGGCAAGAGCAGCAGTGGGGATGGCAGTGGGGGCGAGGGCACAGCAGCAGGCACGGACGGCAGCACTGCCACGGACGCATCTCTGCCTGTGGCGGGCCACACAGGCGGGGTGAACGCGTGTGGGCAGCGCCTGGTGTGGTGGCTCATGGAGAACCGGCGCGAGTACTTTGACCAGGCCAAGCCCCTGCTGCCACGTGTCAGCACCCTTATCTTCATCTCCCATTCACAGGCAGCCACGTGGCGTGCATGGGCGGCAGCAGAGGGTCTGCAGCTGGGTGGCAAGCAGCACGTGATTCCGCTGTCCATCAATGCGGAGCTCGCTGTCCTTGCAGGCCTTGCCCCTCTCCACCCTCCTCCTCCCCTCACAACGTCAGCAGCGGCTGCAGCAGCAGGGCAGGGCATGGGAGAGGGTAGAGGTGAAGGGGAGGGGAGCGGGGCAGCGGATCTGGCAGCGGCGTCAGCAGCAGCGCGGGCGGCGATGCGGCGGCGGGTGCGGGCGCGCATAGGGGCGCGGCGCGGCGACATGGTGGTGCTGTGCCTCAGCTCCGTGAACCCGGGCAAGGGGCAGCTGGGGCTGCTGCAGGCCGCGCTGCAGGTGTGGGCGTCCAGGGGCGAGCTGGGCATGGCGAAGGGCGCGCTCGCAGCACAGGCCAGGGCGGGCGAGGTGGGGTCGCAGGAGGATGGGCAGGGCGGGGAGGGCAGTGGGCGTGGAGAGGTGGTGAAGGGGGCGGATGTACAGCGACGCCGTGCACTGGCGCTCCCACTCGCCGTCCCTCCGCCACAGCAGCGGTGGCGTGCGCGGCGGCTGATAGTGGTGGTGGGGGCGATGAACGGCAAGAGCAACAAGGGCGAGTACATCGTGCGCATGGCGGAGGCCGTGCGCGAGCGCATGGGCGATGCGCACGTGGCTGCACAGGTGAAGGCGGGCGGCATCGTGTGGGTGAATGCCACACTCAAGGTGGCGCCACTCTATGCTGCCGCTGATGCCTACGTCATGAACGCACAGGTAACAAGTGCTTCTGCTTTGGGGCAATGCACAATGGTTGCGGGAAGATGAAGCACAGAGTGGCATGAGCATGGCACTCTAAGAGATTTTGGTTCGTCTTCTTATGGACGACCGTGCCTTGTGCTGTTCTGGAAACGGTTCCTGATGCAAAGACACTGTTTCAGAATCGGTTCTTTTTCCGTTCCCTTGTGTGCGTTCAGGGCATTGGGGAGACGTTTGGGCGTGTCACTGTGGAAGCCATGGCCTTCCAACTGCCGGTCAGTGTTCCCTCCCTCTGTCTTGCTCTCTCGTTCTCAATGCTTGTGTGCTTACTCCCAACCCTGGTTTTGCCAACCGCTCTCCACCCCTCTCCGAGTGCCAATCTGCGTCCTCCTCTTGTGCGTGGCACTCCGGTTCAGGTCCTTGGCACGGCAGTGGGGGGCACAGCAGAGATAGTGAGGCACAACGTCACAGGCCTGCTGCACCCCGTGCGCTTCAAGGGAGTGCCGCTCCTAGCACGCCACCTTGCCCTGCTCTTGCGCCGCCCGGCCCTGCGTCGCCAGATGGGTATGAGGGGGCGGGAGGAGGTGCGGCAGCGCTTCCTCTCACACCTCATGTTTGCCCACATGGGCAAGGTCATTGGGGATGCCTTGCGAGCAGCCGATGCAAGTCAGCACGTTGGAAAGACACAGTCAGGGACACTGTGAAGGTGGATGGACAAGCGAGGTGCAACCTCGTTGTTGGGCAAAAGAATGTCAGAACCAGAGAACATATATACAGCACACAGTTAATGTGTGATTTTTAGTTTCTTCTTTCACGGCACCCTCATCCCCCGGATAAAAGCCCAGGTGGGCTGATAGAAAAACATGACAAATGGCTGGGTGGGTGGGTTTATAACCCAATTATGTTTCAGGGACATCAAAATGTAGAGCTTGCATTTGCGGTTTTGTGTCAAACTATAATGATGCTTGTGCTGTGTAGGCTGTAGTGGGGTAGCCCATAAAGGGTACAACCCAAATTAGGGTTAATACTTGTACCCACATTTCTATTCAATGCACTCATTGATGCTCGTTAACTCTGACATGGTTTGAGAGCAATAGGTCTGTAGGACCGTCTTTTTATTCCGGACCCACCATTAGCTAGTGACCGACTGCAGTTACCGAACTACCCCACGTCACCTGCCCTGCGTCGCGCCGCCCGCGCGCGCCCTGCCCTGCCTTGCCTTGCCTTGTGCAGCCCCGCGCACGCCCTACCCTGCCCTGCGTCGCGCCGCCGCGTGCAGCCTGCGCGCCGCCCGTTTGCAGCCCGCGCGGCCCACGCGCTGCCCTTGCAGCCAGCCCGCCACCCCTGCCTGCCCGCGCGCCGCCCCTGCAGGCCCGCGCGGCGAATCTGCAGGCCCGCGCACTGCCCTTGCAGCCCGCGCGCAGCTGGCGCGCAGCCCTTGTAGCCCGCGCGCCGCCCCTGCCTGCCCGCGCGCCGCCCCTGCCTGCCAGCGTGTTGCCCTCTGCAGCTCGCGCACCGCCCTGCTGGCCGCGCGCCGTCACTGCCTGCCCGCGCGTTGCACTTTCGTGTCAGCGAGCCACCCTACTCTGGCTGCGCGCTGCCCTTCCGTGACCGTGTGCCGTACGCTCTACCCTAGGGCCTGCTCGCCACCCTGCCCCACGCCACGCTACCCCACGACCGTGTCCGTGTTCCGGTACCGCGCTACCCCACGCCCTGCCCTGCGTCGCGCCACCCACACATGCCCTACCCTGCCCTGCCTTGCGTTGCGCAGCCCCGCGCACGCCCTACCCTGCCCTGCGTCGCGCCGCCGCGTGCAGCCTGTGCGCCGCCCGTTTGCAGCCCGCGCGGCCCACGCGCTGCCCTTGCAGCCAGCCCGCCACCCCTGCCTGCCCGCGCGCCTCCCCTGCAGGCCCGCGCGCTGCCCTTGCACCCGCGCACCGCCCCTGCTTGCCCGCGCGCCGCCCCTGCCTGCCAGTGTGCCGCCCTCTGCAGCCCGCGCACCGCCCTGCTGGCCGCGCGCCGTCACTGCCTGGAGCAGTGTGGGCATGGGAGCAGTCTTGAGTCAGATGGAAGGAGGGCAGGAGAAGGTGGTAGCGTTCGCTAGCCGGACCTGCAACCCTGCTGAGGCCAACTGCTCGTCCTACGAGGGAGAAGGACTGGCGGCTGTCTGGGCGGTGGGGCACTTTCGGGTGTATCTGCAAGGAAGACACTTCAAATTGGTGACAGACCATCAGCCTCTGCTATGGCTGATGCAGAACCAGACACTGACTGGGCAGAACGCACGATGGGCGATGAAGCTGCAAGAATACGATTTTACCGTGAAGCATCGCCCAGGCCGGACCATGCAGCATGTGGACAGGCTTTCACGGAACCTGCCAAGGGAGAGGGAGGACGGGGACACCAAGGAGGGGCAGCCAGTAGCGGCGCTGATAGCCACGGTCAAGGAGCAGGGGGCAGTGGGAGAACAGGGGAGAGGAGCTGCGGATGTGTGGCTGGATGAGGCAACATTAGCCTGGATCAAGGGAGAGACTGCTGAAGATGGAGGATTGGAGAGCAGGGCTAGAGCCCGGGGTCAACACTACAGGTGTTACCAGGGGCAGGTACAGCTACAGACGAAGGATGGGTGGAAGCGGGTCCCTGAGCCAGCAGAACGCGCAGCGCTGATAGAGGAAGTGCATGGCAAGCTGGGCCACTTCGGGCCCCTGCGCACCATCCAGCTGCTGCAGACGGGCTGGTGGTGGGCAGGGATGAGGAAAGAAGTGAAGGAGTGGGTGGAGAAGTGCGAGCTGTGCTGCAGGAACAAGGCCACACTGCTCAGGAGTCAGGCGGAGCTGCAGCCACTGGCAATCGTGGAGCTGGGGTACCGTTGGTCTCTAGACATAGCGGGGGAGCTGCCAGTGTCAAGGAGGGGAAGGAGATACATTGTGATCATGATCGAGCGCGTGAGTAAATGGGCGGAAGCACGGCCTCTGGTGAACAAGACCGCAGCAGCCGTGGCAGAGGCATTTGAAGAAATCGTGATTACTCGGTTTGGGGCATGTGGAGAGGTGCTCACAGATCAGGGGACAAAGTTCGAGGGAGAATTCAAGGAGCTGCTGGCCTCGAATGGGATCCAGCACCGCACAACCGCACGGTATCATCCACAGGCCGACGGACTGACAGAGCGGCTGGTGCAGACAGTGAAGAGAGGCCTGCGCGTCTATGGGGAGGCACACAAGGGGGACTGGGACAAGAAGTTGGCATGGGTGATGGCAGGATACAGGTTTAGCAAGCAGGCGGCGCTGAAAGATGTATCGCCCTACTACTTGCTCTTCGGGAAGCATCCGATCCTGCCAGTGGGAGCTCCCAAGGTGCTCACAGAGAGCGTGTCAGTAGGGACAGCGGAGAAATGGGTGGCTCTGGCAGATGCGAGGGCAGCTTACCTCAGGAAGATGATGCCCGCGGCGATGGAGGGTTTGAAGGTGGCGCAGCTGCGAGACATCCACCGCTACAAGCAGCGGCAGCTGGCGAAGATGCAAGGCCGAGACCCACCTGTGGAGGAAGGATGTGAGGTGTATGTCAGGCGAGAGAAGCGAGATGGGCTGGACTTGGGGGTATTACAGCAGAGGTGGACCGTGAAGGAGGTGCGAGACTCTGGGGTATTAGTGCTGGAGGGAGAGAATGGGAAGCGAGTCATGGACCATGTGACTAATGTGGCCTTGGCCGGGAAGGCGAAGGAAGTGCACCAGCACACTGGTCCCATGACCAGGGCGAGGACGGCGGGAGCTGGTCATGGGAGGGGGCAAGAGTGAGTGTATCATGAGTAGCCATGGGGGATAAGGAGGAATATGAGCAAGTGCAGATCAAAAGGGAAGGAGGAAAGGCAGTCCTAAGAGAGAAGGGAAGGAGAACCAACAAGGAGGGGAGTCAGACAGAGAGAGCAGCCCGGGAGGGGGGTGAGGTACCGAGAGCTGTCACATTTGTATGAATGTGAGAGGGTTAGCGGAGAGAGAATGGAGGTTGTACAAAGTGTATATACTGTACGTAGCGAGCAGCGCAGTGCCGGGGATGGAATGCGAGGGGTCACAATGGCGATCGAAGGGAGGGAGAGTCTAACGGGGACGAGGGAGGGTGACGTCTGCCGAAGCGAAGAGTCGGGGAGTGCATGACAGGACTGTAGGGCGGTACTTACGTAAGAGGGAGAAGGAGGAAGTGGGAATTACAGAGTAAGGCAGCCGAGGCAGTGGCAGGAGGGAGTTACCACCGGCACTTGAATGGGTGTGAGCATGCATGTGTGTTTTTCTTCCTGTATATGCAGGCAAGCTCCAAGGAGCCAGCTGGATCTGAGTAGTGGCAGCTGGAGGTACAGTAGCTAGAGGCGGGGGACAGAGGAGGCAGGTAGCAAGATGGTAGTCTTCTCGATGGCCGCGATAGCAGCTAGAGAGGTGACCATGGGAGGATAGGCAAAGGCTGAGCCGGAGCTGGTAGATTAGGAGGAACCTGGCAGAGCTAGCCTCAATGCTTGTATGTTTCCTTTGTAACACGATTTCTTGCATTCAGCCTAGCAAGTGGTGAAAGGAAGGAGATAATACAAGCCGCGATGTGACAAGTAGTTAGACAAGATGTTTATGTGAAGGAGCTAGAGCTTATCAAGAGTGAGCGTATCATGAGTAGCCATGGGGGATAAGGAGGAATGTAAGCAAGTGCAGATCAAAAGGGAAGGAGCAAAGGCAGTCCTGAGAGAGAAGGGAAGGAGAACCAACAAGGAGGGGATTCAGACAGAGAGAGAAGTCCGGGAGGGTGGTGAGGTTCCGACAGTTGGAACACCTGTCAGCACCATCAGCACCTCCAGTACCAGCAGCACCTCCCGCTCCGGCAGCTCCATGACCAGCAACTCCAGCTTCTTCGGTACCTCCAGCTCCAGCGTCTCCAGCTCCAGCGCCTCCAGCGCCAGCGCCTCCAGCTCCAGCAGTACCTCCAGCACCTCCAGGACTAGCAGCTCCAGGGCCTCCAGCTCCAGCAGCGCCACTCTGAAGGCGGCAGCGCTGAGCGTACCACTCGCGCAGCTGCTGTGGTGAGAGACGCTCCCGGCGGCTAGACTGCTGTGGCGAGGCATCGGTAGAACCTCCAGGACTAGTAGCTCCAGCACCCCGAGTACCTCCAGTACCAGCAGTACCTCCAGCACCTCCAGGACTAGCAGCTCCAGGGCCTCCAGCTCCAGCAGCGCCACTCCGAAGGCGGTAGCGCTGAGCGTACCACTCGCGCAGCTACTGTGGTGAGAGAGCCTCTTGTAGTGTAGACACGGTACCTCTAGGCTTAGCACCCCCCGATTCAGCACCCCCAGGCTCCGCACTCGCAGGCTCAGCACCCCCCAGCTCAGCACGCTCAGGCTCAATATCCCCACGCTCCTCACCCGTATGCTCAGCACCCCCAGGCTCCGCACGCTCAGGCTCAGCACCCCCAGGCCCTGCACCCGCAGTCTCAACACCCCCAGGCTCCGCACGCTCAGACGCAACACCCTGAGCAGCACCACCCCCAGCAGCACCAGAGTCGACCACAAGGGGCTGCAGAGGCGGCGAAGACGGTCGAGGTGGAAAACCCAGAGGGGTCTCCAAGCCTGGTGAGCGGCGGGGGGCCAACGCGTCGTCAGCAGCAGCGTCACCCCCCTCAGCTGGGCTAGAGGTGTCGGAAGTGATCTCGAAAGGCGCAGCCTAGGGGAGTGGGT